GACCACTCGCCCCCAGGTTGACCACCCACCCGTGGGGGCACCCGTGGAACTTGTCTGTCTTCTTTTTGGCGGACATATTCGCCAGAGTCCAGCACGACTGAGCCGGCCATTTTTTCATCAGCGCATCGGCTGTTTTTTTCCGGTGCTTGTCGTCCCCGAAGATTACGTCCTCCCCGATGGTGTACACGCCGGTGGAGGACACCAGGTGCACCGCAAACACGGTCATGGTCGCCGTCGGGGTCTTCACGACTGGGTTCAGGATGCGCACCTGGATGGTCTTGCTTTTACTGTTGGCCCCGTTTAAGGATTCCAGCGCGTCCGCCATCGCAGGCTCTGGCGGGTGCGGCAAAGCCTACAGTAGGCAACCCGGGTGCGCAGGATCTCCAGGTGCTGAAACAGCTTCGGTGTACGAGATACGGCGACGACGCGAGAGGTGGACGCAGGTTCCCCCACGCGATGGGGCCAATCATTGCTGGACGCTAATGCAGCAGGGCCCCTGGCTTAGACCTTGGAAGACGCCTGCGGGGCTCCCACAAAAGAGAGAGCGCAAGGGAGGACGTCGCCGGGACGCCACGGACGAGGGGGTTGCTGGAGGAACGCGTGGCGGCCAAGAGGAAAGCAACCTCGCAGGCGTGCCAGCCCCAGCGCCCAGATGGGGAAGGCGACATCGACAAGAGCAACGCCATTTCCGTGGCACACGGCAGGATGCACTGCGCGGTTACCACCGCGAGCACGCAGCGAATTACGAGGCGCCGCGGAGAACATGCGACTAATTATGTGGGCGGGTCCGTGCACGCGGCGCCGGGCCGCTCTCTGGACCCGCCGCTGGCGTGGAAGGCTCTCCTCTTTGGAGCGGGCTTCTTCGTTTTAGCAACCTGCGAATAGCGGCGGGCCGCCGACACGTCCCAGTATCCGCTTGCTGTGTACGAGCTGTTCCATACCGATAGTTCGGGGGCGTGCCGCAGATGAAAAAGGTGCTTGAGGCCATCCTGCTTGCTAAGTACTCGCAAGCTGTCCCCTGGGAGGGCAGCGGAAAACACAAGACCTGATCGCTATGACGTTTGCCACACTGTCCCTGAGTGCCCGCATCGCGGGGGCATTGCCTGCATTGTGGGTGGTGACGAAGGGCGGCGGCGTTCAAAAGAGGGCTGAGGAGGGCAAGATCACCTAGCCCCCGTCGGATCAACACAGCCTCAGAGGCGTTCAGCATGGGCCCCAGACGGTCCAAGATGGCGCCAAGACGGCCCAACAGGCTTCGGAGACGGCGCCCATACGGGGCTTGAGGGTCCCGCGGCGGTCCATGCCGGCTCAGCTCCGAGGGGGGGCGAGGAGGAGGGAAAGGAGGAGGAGGGAGAGAAAGAGGAGGAGGTGGAGGAGCAGGAGGAGAAGGAGGAGGAGCAGCAGGAGGAGGGGGGAGGAGGGGTATGGGAGACAAGCTAGGTGCGTTCGCGCCACATCTGACATCCTATCTTTCCCTTTCGTCCACCCCACTACGGAACTTATCTTATTAATGGGATCGGAGGCCAGATTCGACATGAGTGCCTATCTCCTCTGCCGAGGTGCGCGAAAGGCAAAGAGTCCGTGCGGGGCCGGAGCAAAGAATGGGTGGAAGAGTAGGAGGAGGAGGAGGAGGAGCAGGAGGAGGAGGAGGAGGAGGAAGAGGAGGAGGACGATGAGGAGGATAATGAAGAACGATGAGGAAACCTGATGACGAAAAAAAGGAAGAAGAGGAGGAGGAGGAGGAGGAGGAGGAAGATTATGATCTCCGACGATGGAGACGAGGAAGAAAAATGAGGAGGAGAAAAACGATGAGGAAAAAACAGGGAACAAAGGAGGATGGGAATGATGATGGGGAGGGGAGGGGAGGAGGAGGAGGAGGAGGAGGAGGAGGAGGAGGAGGAGGAGGAGGAGGAGGAGGAGGAGGGAGGAGGAAAGGGGAGGAGCCCCAAGGAGAGGCTGAACTCATGGTTATTTTGGTATGTTGTTGAAGGGTGTTCGGAATTTCTTCGTCTCGGCCTTGGGACGGTTCAAGATAGTTCCGTATCGCCCCACGATCGCCCGAGAGGCCTCCTAGATGTCCCCGTCACGGGCCCAAGAGGCCTCCAAGACGGCCCCAAGAGGGTGTCAAGACGGCCAGGGAGGCCGCCAAGACGCCCAAAATGGCCTCCAAGACGGCCCTGAAACGTTCCAAGAGGGCCCCAAGTCGGTTGAGAGAGGTCCCAAGACGGCCTCCGACGGCGTCAGACGGGCCAGAAACGTCCTAAGTAGGCCAAAGGTTTCCCCGACAAGCTCTCGAAGGGCCCCAAAGAGAGCCAAGGAGGCTCCCAAGAGGCCCCCTAGAGGGGTCCTCCTCCTCCTCCTCCTCCTCCTCCTCCTCCTCCTCCTCCTCCTCCTCCTCCTCCTCCTCCTCCTCCTTCTCCTACTCCTATATCGCTACGCGATCAGGCAGAGTCTCCAGAGTCTCCTTCTCCTACTCCTTCTCCTCCTTCTCCCTTTCCTGATCCTCCCCCTGCTGCCCGCAGAGTCCAGAGCGACTGGGGTAGTACATAGTCCGGTAGCTTGGCCAAGCCCAAGCTGGGGCCAAACGTTTTTGCTACAGGGGCGCTTCCTCAAAACGCACGGGGGACGGTGATCCGGCGCAGGCGTCTGCGATAGCTTTCATATTGCATCATCGACGACGACGACGACGACGACGACGACGACGACGACGACGACGACGACGACGACGACCGACGACGACGATGACGACGACGACGACGACGACGACGAGGACGAGGACGACGACGACGACGACGACGACGACGACGACGACGACGACGACGACGACGACGACGACCCCGGAGGTCTGGACACCTTTCCTTTGAGCAGTTGTTTGTACCAGATCGGACGGATCGGACGGTCCAAGACGGGCCAAGAGGGCCCCAAGAGCGCCCAAGAGGCCTCCCAGATGGCCCCGTCACGGGGCCAAGAGGCCCCCAAGGCGGCCCCAGGAGGGCGTCAAGACGGCCGAAGAAGCCTCCAAGACGCCCAACATCGCCTCCAAGACGGCCCTGAAATGTCCCAAGAGGGCCCCAACTCGGTTGAGAGAGGGCCAGACGGCTTCCGACGGCGTCAGACGGGCTGGGATCGCCCTAAGACGGCCAAAAAGTTTCCCCGAGGAGCCTTCGAAGGGCCCCGAGACGGCCAAAAGGCTTCCAAGAGGCCCTCAGAAAGCTCCCAGGGGGCCCAAAGAGTGCCCCCAGAGGCTCTCCAGAGGGGCTCTCTTCCTCCTCCTCCCCCTCCTCCTCCTCCTCCTCCTCCTCCTCCTCCTCCCTCGCCTGATTCTCCCCCTGCTGCCCGAAGACTGTCCAGAGCGGCTGGGGTAGTACATAGGCCGGTGGCTTGGCCAGGCTGGGGCCCAACTTTTTGCCACAGAGGCACGTCCCTAAAACGCAGGGGGCGGCGGTGATTCGCCGTAGGCGTCTTCGATGGTATTCACATTGAAGAGTCGACGACGACGAAGACGACGACGATGATGACGCCGATCTCTTCCTCCTCCTCCTCCTCCTCCTCCTCCTCCTGTCCCTCCTTCTCCTCGTCCTCCTCTCTTCTCCCTCTCCGACCAGCACGAAGGACGCTGGCCGTCCAAGGCGGCTCCGCCGATCCCGGCGCACACTCGGCCGCCTCGGCCCGAGGCCGAAGGTTGGCCTGCCGTGTGCCAGCCTTGTGGGCGCAGGTGGTCTGGGCGTTTCTTCAGCTGACCTCCTTCCTCCCCCTAATCGGGGAGATTCGCATCCCCGCCACCTTGCGTTTGGACGGGGGGGGCGGAGGGGTTAGAGCGTCCAAGACGCCCCCAAGTCCTCGGAAAGCTGAAGGATGGCTTCCAAAATGGCGCAATATACTTCAAGACGGCTCAAGATAGCCTCCTACGCACATCCAAAAGGCTACCAGACGGCTGCAAGACGGCTGCAAGGCCCCCATGAGCCCCCGAACCTGGGCTTCAAAATCACAGGAACATGTTTGGTTTTTGTTTAGCATTCTCACCTTTTCGCATCCGATGGGCTTTCGAGGGCTCAAGATGGCCCCAACACGGCCCAAGATAGCCCCAAGGAGTGGCCAAGAGGGCCTCAATAGGGCCTCAAGAGCGCCCAAGAGCGCCTCAAGA